AGAAATAAAATGAGCTTAAAAAAATTGTGGAATTAGATGAAAAGGCTAAAAAAAAAGGCATCAAAAGAGCTAAATAGCAGCTGAAATTAGCATAAAAAGCTGAAACTAGGAGAAAAAAGCTGGAAGGAGCATAACAATATGAAATTAGCATAAAGAAGTTAATTATGCTGAAAGTAACCAAAATTACCACAAAAATCTTGAATTTATCTGAAAACAACTGAAATTAGCTACAAAATGCTAAAAATAAGTAGCTGAAAAGTTAGAAAAAGCTTAAATTAGCAGACGAAAGCAGAAATAACGTTGACCAAATTAGGCTGAAAGAAGCAAAAACGAGCACAAAAAGGTGGAAATTGTCTGAATAAAGCTGAAACTTGCACACTAAAAAAACAGCTGAAAAGTAGCTTAAAAAGCAGGAAGAAGCTGAAGTTACCAGGATGAAGTGGAGAGAGCACATTTTTACTGAATTAGGCTGAAAAAAGTTTAAATGAGTGCAAAAAAATGTGGAATTATCTGCAAAAGCTTACATTTACAAAAAAAACAACCCCAGCTAAATAGTAGCTGAAATAGCAGAAAAAGTTGAAACTTACAGAAATAAGCTAAAAGGAGCATAACAAGCTGAAAGTGGCAGAAATAAGTTAGAAGAAGCACAAAATGTTCTAGTTAGAAAGAAGCTGCAAGGAGCACAAAACAGCTGAAAAAATAGATGAAGTGAGCTGAAATCAGCTGAAAAAAGTTTAACTTAGCAGAAGGAAGCTGAACCAGAACAAAATGTGAAAGCAGCAGTAAAAGGTTGTAAACAGATCAGACTTGAAGGATGGGAATGAGAACATTTCATTTTCTATGAGAGAAAAAATGGCAGAAAAGGCCAAATAGTTCAAAAAGCTAAAGTTGCACCAATACCAAAAGTCACAGCAGGATTGTCCTGGAAGAGCTAAACGTTTTCATTTATGATTTGTTGAAGTAGCTTCGGAACTGCAGGATGAAAACCACATCGTAAAATGTACGAAAGAAAAATGGATCACAGTAGAATGAATGCTTCATAAACATTCACACAGCTACCGTAATATCCGGACTATAGAGCGCACCTGAATATAAGCCACGCCCACTAATTTAAAAAAAAAAGTACATATAGTCCACATTTGTCAATAAGCAGCTATAAGTGTCCATGTCATAACATGAAATATTTACCTAAATGTTTTTTAAAACTTTTAATTAAATACTGTAGCGCAACCAAAAATTATTACAACAAAGATCAAAACAACAACAAAAACGGGAAAAAAAACAACAAAAACACGGCATAAGATGAAAAGAAAGAAAACTAGAGTTGAACGTCAAAAAAGACACTTCAAAGAAATGTTAAAAAATAAAAATAAAAAGAGAATTTGACACGTAAACCAGACATACTAGTTTTTGAAGTGACATCATTGTTCAAAGTGTTAATTCTACGAGTTCCTACTTTGGTCCAGGTGTGCTTGTATCCGTCAGGGTTCAGGACAGGCAGGACGTAGACGTCCATGTGGTCCAGAATGTGAGTTATGTCCTGGTTCTGCTGGTAAAATGACAAGGACTGCAGAAGAAAGAGCTCTGATGTTAGCTTTACAGGCAGAGATCAAAGGACGGCACGTTTTAGATGAGACGGACTCACGTGATGCACGAACGATAAGCAGAAAGCGGGAGAGATCCACTCTCTGGCGTGGATCCCACAGTCGATCCACATGGCCTTCTTGTTCGGCCTGTTATTCAGAGACAGCTGGGGGGGCGGAGTCAAACATGGAGGAAATATTAGATCAATAATCATTGATATCCGTGCAGGATCTCGTAGACGTTTGATGGAACTACCTTTAGGGCGTACAGGGGTCGCTTCTCGTATGAGGAGCCGACGAGGACGACTTTAACCGTGCCGGGGTTGTCCTGTACGATCCGATTGATCCAGTCATAGATCTGCAACAGAGGTGATACATGGTTTTTCTCATCCGAGGCGGCGCAGAGTGAAGGGAGGCATTTTATCCACCACCAAGGGTGGAGCCAGTGGGGGCCCAAAGGTGGCCTTCGCCCACGTAGATTAATCTTCTGCCACCCCGATCATTTGAGGAAACTATACTTTTAATGAATTTGGTACGTTGCAGTTCGACTTTTGCGGACTCACTGTTTCACTGGTTTTCAACATAACATTGTACCCGGCACATGATTGGCTGATCGATGGAAGGCGACCGACCAGATCATTTATAAGTAAGTAAGTTTCTTTTGGCTGCTCCCTTCTTCAGGGGGTTGTCACAGTGAGCGAACTCGTACGAAAGATTTGGACAATGTTTTATGCCGGATGCCCTCCCTGACACAACCTGGGCTCAAACCTGCAACCTCTGGATTGCAAGACTGCAGCACTCTTCACTAAGCTACCACAGCCCTCATTTTATATACAGGTATATGTATATAT